AGAAGATATTACAGAAGATAAAGTAGTAGATACGTTGAGGAGAGCCATCAATTTCCACTCAACATTACAGGCTTGTGATGGTCACTGGCCAGGAGATTATGGTGGTACCTTGTTTCTAATGCCTGGCTTGGTAAGTGTTGATTTTTCCCTCTCATTGTTTCTTAGTCTTTAAATGGATATCTTTACTAGTTGGATGCCCCTGAGGAATGTTTTTCCAGTGACATTACATTGTTTTATCTCATTTGTTTCAGTAATTGTCGTGAAGCAATTCTTATACAACATCATGTAGTGTGTATGATTCCTTTTTTATGAATTTTCTTCTTCTTTCCAACTTGATGGAACAGGTCATTACCTTGTATGTTACTGGGGCATTAAATGCTACTTTGTCAACAGAACACAAACGTGAGATGTGCCGGTATCTTTATAATCATCAGGTATAGATAGTGTATTTTTAGCAGGCAAATCTTCATTGCATTTTTAATGATGTCTGTACATGTTATCTGGATTTTCAACATTTATTTCTGTTATGATTTAAATTTTCTTCTTTTCTGTTGTTGGGTAACGGCATGAGTAAATTTCTAATTAAACCCAGTAAATTGCAGAACAGAGATGGTGGGTGGGGTTTACACATAGAGGGCCCAAGCACCATGTTCGGTTCCGTGTTGAACTATGTTACTCTGAGGTTGCTTGGGGAAGAAGTGAATTGTGGAGATGGTGCAATGGATAAAGGACGAAAGTGGATTCTGGATCATGGCGGTGCCACTGCAATTACTTCCTGGGGAAAAATGTGGCTCTCGGTTAATAACTGATCCTTCACCTTGCTTTTTATACGATTTCCATTTGTCACCAAATATATTTCCCATTTGTTAATAATCTTTGTCTGTTGATGGTATTAGGTACTTGGAGCATTCGAATGGTCTGGAAACAATCCTCTGCCACCTGAGATATGGCTTCTCCCTTATATCTTTCCAATCCATCCAGGTCACTGAACCTCTATGCTTGGCTTCTTCTCATCTTTTTCCTGAATAGTTCTGATGGGAAATGAAGATTAGAAAATATATAGGGTTTAACAGGATTGTCAAGTAGAGATAAAATAAAATTATGTTTGCTTAGATTGGACAAGATTAGTTTTAAAATTTCATTTATGTTTTATTTTATTACAA